TCTGAGATGAAAGATCTTGGAGAGGCATCATATATCCTAGGGATTGAAAATAAGAGGCAGAAGGAGAGGTTTGATTGGATTATCACATAAGGGTTATATAGAGCAAGTCTTGAAGAGATTCAACATGTCTTCTTGTGGTAGTATTGAAATGCCAATTTCGAAAGGTGATAAGTTAAGTAAGCAACAATGTCCTCAAAATGATTTGGAAAGGAGAATCATGAAAGGTAAATCATATGCATCTTTAGTGGGGAGTTTAAGTCTGCACAGTTAGACCAGATCTTGCTTTCACAATCAGTGTCCTTGGTAGATGTCAGTCCAATACATGAAAAGCTCAATGGAATGGAGCAAAGAGAGTACTGAGATATATTTGAAAGAACCAAGACACACATGTTGATTTTCAAAAGGACAAATAGTTTAGTCTTGGAAGGTTATAGTGATTCAGAATTTTCTGGATGCTCAGATGACCTCAAGTCAACTTTAGGTTATGTTTTTACGATGGCTTATGGGGCAGTCTCTTGTAGGAGTGTAAAGCAAGACACAATGGTAGCTGCAACTATGGTGTCAGAATATTTGTCATGCTGTCAGGCAATTTGGTTGAAGAACTTTATAATGGGACTGCAAGTTGTTGATTCAATCTCAAGGCCAATTCAAATTTACTGTGACAATAATGCATCAATAATCTTTCGAAGAATAATAAGAGGTCGGCTGCAACAAGAAACTTGGATATCAAGTATCTCACTGCTCCAGAAAAGGTAACGACACGCTTGGTCAAGATAGATTACTTGGAGACTAGTTCAATGATTACAGATCCTTTGAAGAAGCATGTTGCAAAAATGGGAGTATTAGCTGGTTTTGATGCAACAAATTAGTGGGAGCTGTGTGTTAGTTTTCTTTCCAGAAATTTATTTCTTCAGTTACAAGTTGTTAAGTTTGAAATATGCATTCAAGTATTAACACTGAAGAACTCTTCGCTCATAAAGTTAAATGCTGAAAGGTTGTTTAGTTTCCCTAAAGTACACATCTAATCATGATAGTATGTATGTATACATGAATACCTAATGAGTGACAATTCGTGGAATTGTTATAAAGATGACCTATCATATGTATACATGAATACATGATGAGTGACAATTCGTGGAATTGTTATAAAGATGAACAACCAAAGGACTTCAATTTGAGGCATCAAGATGAACTGTCTTATCAGTTCTAAACAGGACCATGAGTTAGATGTGTTTTTCGGTACATATATAGTCACACCTTCCGTTGTAAATATCTTGTTGGAGTTTGATGTATCGGTTAGTTTCATGAAAGTGATTATGTTACTCATGAAAGATAAGTACAATTCCTTCTAGTTCTTCATGAATACTGCTTGATGATCACAGCTTGAAATTGAGAACTTTGTTCCACAGCCATTCAAGAATAATTCCATATTGAGTTGTAGTGTTAAACAAGTATTAGCTCTGGTGAGAGAATGTAAGTTCTATAGAGAACCAAACACTTGTTTATCACGTCTTTAGAGATCCGGAATTGTAAAAGATTAGGATTAATTATGTTTGTTAGCTATTATGGATTTGTATACTTAGGCCTCGTTTGACAGTTTGAACTGGACTAACTATTTCAGTCAGATAGGATGAATAGTCATCGGATAGTACTGACTGAATTAGTCGGACGTTTGGTGCAATATCAGATTAATAACCTTATTATTTATATTGTGTTTGGTTTGGGACTCTATCAGATAAGAAAGACTTAAAAATGTCATTATTTTAAAGAGAAATTTTGATGATTGATGAATTTGGAACTATGGTGAATTTTTCAACTCCAACTTTTACATCATATCCTTGGATCTATGATGAGTAGATTTTATATTATATATTTTACCCTAATCTTAGTATATTTTGGTTAATATTTTGGAAGAATTTTGATACTTTGAATTGTATTTTCAATATAGGACTTTCGACTTCCTCTGGAGCAAAACAGGACCAAATGGACGAATTTTGGAGTAATTCCAGTTGGAGGACGTTCGTGAGTCACTTAGCTTGATCGTATCAAACTTTGGGATTTTTCCACCAAACGGTTATTTTCTGGCAATGAAATAAAGAAGCAGTGCGCAGTGCTGGAAAATGACGTTTTTGGGCTTAAATTGCATTTTTGGAGCCCAAGATGATCTCGGATGGGTTCGTGGCCTTCTGGAAAAGTGTTCAGAATATTCCAAACATTAAATCCAGCTATCTTGGGCCAGTTTTGGAGCAGTTTATGGGTCCAAAACATGGCTGTTCAGATTTTAGGCGAATTTTACCATTTAATTTAGGGTTATGTTTCCTAGTTTATTGGATTATTAATTTTAGTTTTTAGGGTTTGTGTGGAGGCTTAGCAGATATATTGCTTGGCCGTCTACCATTTTTCTTTACGCTTTCTTTTATGCAATTTTGGAGACAGAGAGAATTGTTAGGGTTTTGATGACTTTTTACTTGAAGGTGCTTTCAATCATTTTCTTGAATATATTTTCTATGATTTCAATTATGAATATGCGGAACTAATTTCTTTTGCTAGGGCGAAGCCTTGAGCCTCTGCATGAATATGTGATTTTTAGTTAATTGCTTATGATTGATTGCATGCATACTTTGAATTGTTAATCTCCAGGATAAAAACTATCTAATTGTCTTAATGCCTGATCACCATTAGGATCTTTAGAAAAGTAATTTGATGCAATTTTGGTCGGAAGGTTCCCTGAAATTGACGATGTCTTCTTGTGATTAATAATTGTAATTTCACTTAGGATGAATATCACGTCTTAAGGATTGTATGGTTTTTCATTTTCATAAAGCATAATGAATCTTTCATGTTCAGATTTGATCCGAACGTCCGGACGGGTTGCATTTTAGATATGCGTTCTATGTTGGAGGTTCCAAGTAGAATATGAATTAGGAAAATCTAACCTTCAAAGTGGCATGTATAGATCATAAGTAATGGGTAAAAATTCATAGGATTGCTAGGTGATGGTGAAACCCTAGTGCTTTCTTAATTTTATTCTCCCAAAACTGTTTTCTTTTCTCTCCAGCTCTAATATTGCAGATTGTTTATTTTAATTCATTAATTTCGTTTTTATTTTATTTTAATTAGGTTATAAAATCAATCACCTCAATTTCTACTTTACAATAATTAAATGGAATCTAATTAGTTTCGAATTATTTAATAGTCCCTGTGGAGACGACCTTGCGAGATCCGTTTATACTACAATAACCTTGTGATTCTTGCAAGTAAAATAGGAGATTTAAGCCCGTTCACATGAGTAGTAAACATCCTATCAATCTACTCTCCAAATCTTGCTGTAGTCAAGCAGCACCTGCATCCACCATGCTTGATATTATGAATTCATCAGGCTTCATTCCAGATGCCAGGAGCCTATAAAATAAATCAAATGCACTTTCAATCCCCATCTTGAATATAACCTACAACATAGAGATAATAACCCAATTCACCAAAAAACTCAAGAAGCTGGAAATAATCGCCCAATCCATTTCTTCAATTGGGTTCAAATTTTCAACATACCTAACTCAGGATCTTTGCAATTCTTGCCAAAAACCCAACCCAATTGATTTATTTTCAAATGATTCGACCAATACCAGAAAAACAAACCAGGTAGTGAGTAGTGTTCTTCTGGCAGGGGAGATGGCGCACATGCAAAAAAAAAAAACTAGATTAATTTTTTTTCAGATCTGAAAATTGACAAACCCTATATTTTAATTAAAAGAAAAAATTATAATCAATTGCAAAATTAGAGAGAATAATAACCAAATTCAGTCAATTGAAAGAAAATTGCAAGAAAAATAGGAGGGTAGAAGAGAGTGAAGAAGAAGAAGAAAGATTGCAGGAAAAATAGAAGGAGAAGCGTGGAACAAAGAGGAGGAGGAGGAGGAGGAGGAGGAGGGCACAACAACCCAGGATTTAGATGAGAGAGCAAGCGATGCAAGAGGGACCAAGATAGTGAGAGGGGCAAGTTTTCTACCTGACTAAGAATGGTGTATTCAATTGAGAATTTGAGAGACTTTAATGGATTTATAAATCCATGAATTTTTATAGAGTTTAATTGATTTGTAGAGATTCATATAAAATTTTGATTCAATTCTCTCAAAATCTTATGGGAAGAGATGAGATTTGTGGATGCTTAAAATACACTACGAAATCTCTTCAATTCCCTCTAATTCTTCAACTTTATCAAATTCTTTAAAATCAATTTTTAATTGAATACACCTAGAATATTATAAACTTCTTTAAAATCTTAATTGAATACAGCCGGATTTCTAAGGATTTTAATAAACTATCTTAAAATTCTAATTAAATACACCTTGAATTTCAGAGAATCACTTAAAATCATGATTGAATACCCCTAGATTCATTAAAAGAATTATAATCCTTTAAAATCCTAATTGAATACACCCTCCTAAATAATCCTGTGGTCTTGGGATGTATAGTTAAATGGGTGTCAGCCGGATGAAATAAGTTAGGCCAGACTATTAATCTGGTGACTATTTAATACATACGGACACCAGACACCCAACTCTATATTATTAGTCCTATCTGATGTGTTATATAGCATACCAAACGAGGTCTTAGGGTTTCTTATAATGCTAGAGTCTGTGCTCTCTCACTTGACATGCAAACCTAAGAAACTTAAGCCCTATAAATTGAGCCTTGCGTACAGTGAGTGACGAGCTGCAGAAGAACCCTAACCCTAGCAGAAATGACTTCTTCAGGTTAGTGGTTATATTGGTAATGTGAAATTGAATTCCGTTGGTCATATACTTGTATTATATACTTACATTATCTTATTGTTGAATTTATATGAGTAGGGATGAGTATGTTTATTTAAAAATTACCAACAATTATATTCACGTCTTTAAGGCTCGTCATAACAAGAATTTCTTAAACCATGCACGGGTCAATACCAATAAGAACCAAGTACAGAACCTTGTTGGGAGGAAAAAATAGGGGGGGGGAAGTAAAACTGGTTATTCACACATCGCAGGGGAGTATTGACTACAAATTACAATGCATATTTACTTGTACAAAACATGAATTAAAGAAAACCCTTCTCTTTGTAGGATTGAACAGCGCCATCAAACATTTCACCAAGGCCGCATTTGAATTCGAATCCAGTATTCAACAGTTTCTTTGAAGAGACCTTAGTTCCTTTGTAACCTTTGACCTCCTTTAAGTAACTGAAAACGGAAAATGAAGAAGAAAAAAAATTACAAAAGAGGGTAAATATATAGGCCTCAACATATTTGACAACATAAAGGAGGCCATATTATCTCTACTAATTAATAAAACACTTATTGTCAACCAAAATTCTATGAAATTATCAGTTTAACCCTCTAATTAAAACAGAACATGAATAAGAAATATGGGGTAGGAATGTAATTTCACACAACCGAATTTTGCTGTTTTTTTTTTCAAAGTCTCACCTACATGTGATCCTTACATATCTCTAATTATATATATATATAAAAAAAAAAAAAAAAAAGAACTTCCCACTCCCACATTCTCTATCACTCCCTTCCTCTCTCCTTCTATTTCAAGAACAAAAATAAAAAAATTTCTCACACACTTTGTGTGTGCCTATATGCTAGTGTTAATAAAAATAAGTTTTGCTAGAATAAGTAGTTCATGTGTGGACAAGTGGCTACTTATCCGTTAACAAGTGCCAAATTGGTTGTGAGGCCTATTTCAATCAAGTTGTAAATGACTTGGATATGTTGTGAAAACCCTTCACAATTAACTTACAACATATGAACAATTGATTCTAGCATTTCTTTTATAACAATATAGTTAGAGAAGAAACAATTTATCTCACTCTGGTATTTGTATTTGAAGTTCGGGGTATCTTGGAGGAAGAAATTCATATAATTCATGAATCGATGTTTGCACTGACGAACAAATGTACCTTCCTTTTGCATTAGGGTACTCCAGAAGATAGATATGTGCACTTGCTACATCATCTATGTGCACCATATATGTGTTAATAAGATACTTACATAGATCCTGGTTACCTACATAGGTCAAAATATTACAAAATTAACAAAACACACAAAAAAAAAAAAAAAAAAAAAAAAACGATTGAAGATCTCATACTAGAATACTGAATTTGTTCACGAAATACTATTTCAATGCACGTTTTCATTAATATACTGTCTAATAGTAAATATGGTTTAAAATAAACCCAGATTTAAAATATTGACGCATTCGTCATTTTGATGAACAAAATTTGTTAAAAGACTTGATGTCTCTCGTGATGCTGCCAGAATGTAGCGCAATTAGAAAAGAGTACCTATCAAACATGACACGACAAATGGTTATTTGTTTCCAAATTAGATACATCAGAAAGAAAAATTCTAGAATTTGCATTCTTGAAATTAATAATTAGATCGTGAAAAAATTTAAGAGATTTTATAACCGGACGAATCTGAGCCACTCAAAAGATAAGAAAAAGCATGGATTGAACTATAGTAGAAAGATTGTCCAAAAATGGAATGAACCACTAAGCTGCATGTGTGTGGCCAAATATATCGTTAACAAAAGCATATAGTTTAAGAGAAAAGTACCAGAAATGGGAGCCATTCCCATGTACACCGAAGAAGGAATATTTGAACAAATGAAGGGTCCAACAACTATGGGAAGAATCACAGTGACAACATCCAATCCATGTTTTTCTGCAAACTCCAAAGCCGTCTGCTCCACCACAGTCTTAGAAACCAAGTAAGAAGAGCCTACAAGACCGCTGCTTTTGCAGATATCGATCTCACTCCATGTATTTTCATCAGTTTCACTTAAACCTTTGCTGTTGAACAATATTGCTGCCAAACTAGAAGTGTAAACGATGCGTTTCACAGTCTTGGAGTTCAGGCATGCCTTCAAAATACCTAGGGTTCCTTCTAGGGCTCTCTTGGTCACAGTTTCCTCTGGCTCTTTGTTATCAATGTCCATAGGGTGAGCAAGGTGGAAGACTCCGGTGCAGCCTTGGATGGCCTCATCAAAAGTCTCAGGTTGGTTGAGATCTGCATGGAAGATTTGGAGTCTGTCCGATGCTCCTGGTAGGGTTGTTAGGTAGCTGATATCTCTCTTGCTTTCAGCTGCTAGATGTATATAAACATGAGCTCATGTAATTATATGTTAAAAGGCCACAAAGGAAATCTATAGAAAAAAGAAAAATGGGGAAAGATTAAGTTGATAAAGAAATTGGACAATTATAGGACTAATATTTCACTGAATTTAGTAACATCCGGAATGATGTTGGATTAGTTCTCACACATATAAACTACTGATGCCATTCATTCACACATAAATTGATAACATTCATTGATAGATAACTGCCGTCATACTTTCAGTGCACGTTTAATAACACGATAGAACTATGCCATACAATTGAAACGAATTGGCAATGCGTGGAGAAAAACAAGATGTGTGTGTTGTGTATGTGTTTAGAATGTTTCACCAGCGGACCACTGGCCACACACAGATGAAAGTTTGTCCCTTTAACTACCAATTTATAGAAACAAACCGCCCCAAAATGTTGTTCTTTAACTTATATCCATCCCTCACAAATTTTTGTGTGGCTCACTAAATGACAAAAAAAACTTTACATTTTAGCTCAAATTTACTATTGATTTGCATTAAGCAGAGAAAATCATATTTCAAAACACTATAGACAAGTTATAACATTATTCTAATCTCCCAGTAACATTCAAACTTTGAAATTTTATACTTAAATATATATTGGTTGAATTTTTAACGCCCCACATAGACAACATTCTGAGTTCGCCGTGCTGGGATGTTTTTATGTTTGTCTAGTCCCGATCATGTTAGATTATGAGATCAAACAATTGCAATAGTAACGTATAACGCATTGCATAAGAATTACAATAAACTTATATGTTCAGATATAGCTTCTAGGTAGAAAACTGAAGTGACATGTCAACTAGAATTTCATACATATCTTCTAACTAAATTGATCATTATCATCAAAACTCAACAACATTCAACATGACTATAAAACCATAGAATTTGTTGGTCGTCTGATCTGAGTTACCTGCAGGATTGAATCTAACCGTAGCTCGAACGGAGTAACCATGCTGAAGAAGCCTCATAATCAGCCAAGAAGCGACATATCCTGTTCCACCAGTTACACAAACTGTTCCCCTACCCTCTTCCATCTCACTCTCTCTCTCTCTCTCTCTCTCTCTCTCTCTCTCTCTCTCTATAGATCTCTATATGTGTGATTTGGCTAATTAATCAGGATCATGGAAGCTTAAATACAAGATAATTGATTAGTTTGCGAGATAATTAATTAGTTTGCGATAGTTAAGGGTCAATAGTTTGTGAGTTTGTCATTACAGCTAGTTCTTGCACATTCTTTGCGTTTCTTCAGGAGGCAATGAATTTGACATATGATAAGGTTACGTAATTTACGATTTTAAATTCTCTACCCTATATACATATGCAAACAACCACGACATAGACGAATTGAATATACCCCTTTTTCAGTCCTTATGTCTCCATGTTTCTGTTGACGTTCTAAATTAATGTTCATTTTTGTACATATAAAAATCTATAGCCGCTGGCTCCGGCTTCGAGCCGGTGGCAGCTCCTCTCCCCCCTTCTCTTAGCCTTCCTCATCCTCTTCTCCTGGATAATTGCAGAGCTGTTTTCTGTTTTAGTACATTGCCGTTTATAAGTGTCATTGCCGTTTATAAGTGTCCCCTTGGTGAAGTTATTTGTGAGCCTCTCCTAGTGGTATTTTGATTTTGTGTTCGTGTGTTATCGTCTCCTCTTAGGTCTACTTCGTTGTTTATGTTAGCTTCGTTGATGGTGTTGAGCAACAAACTCATGGTGGTATCGATATATACTAGTTGGTTCTTTGTCAGTTCTTCTTCGGAGTCAGTAATGGTTGTTATCAAAGAATGTCCTCCTATTCATTACATACAATTTTTGTGCGCAGAATATGTGTCAAAACATGAAGTGTTAGATTTTTTTCATGAGTAATGGAGTTCCTAAAGATTTGAAGTTTCATCTCCTCAGTCTTGAAGTTTAGGTGTGGATGACTTAGATGCGTTCCTTTGCTTATTCTAGGGCTAATCTTGCTCTCAAATTCGTTAATATGGTGATAACTAGTTTGACCATGTTGCCCTTTTATATTTTTTTAAGTCTGTTTAGATTGAGGATCTCTTAAATTTAACCCAGAATATTTTCTTAATGCTTGTATCGGCATTATAATTTGAACTACATTATTGCTAACATATTGTGAGGTTAAACTCACATCTCTTCTTTATTGTAGGAAATATCGATTGTTAAAAAAATATATATATATTAGACCGTTATCATTTTGCCTAAAAAAATTGAGGTTGATGTATTACCACTTATATTAATGCAACTATTAATCTATTTATCTAATTCTAACTGTACATGACGAACATATTACACATCATTTGAAGCTGTTTGATATTAGTTTAATAATATACAGCCGATCACGAGGATAACTAACGTTGACTATGTATTTTATATGACGCACTATATCGTGTCAACGAATTGTTTGTTTTTATATTAGAAATATAGTACGATAATTAATCGAAAGTGTAACAAGACAACCAGAGTTCTAATTTATTTTGCAATCCATCCTTTTCCTTAGATCATTTGGTTGAGTACTCATCACAATAATTTGCTTGTATATGCAAGATGCCTTGTATAATCAATTAGTTCATACTTCCTAACAACTTCTTAAAATAGTGAAAACACAGTCAAAACGTATTATTTTTAAGAACATTTCCTTCAATTTATGTCTTTGGAAAAGAATTTCACTTATGTCAAGTAATGAAAATGATTTAAATTTTAATGAAAATGATTAAATTTTGAGAACTTTAATGAAAAGCTTTTGGTATTGTTCACTTTAACGAAAAACTACATTTTTACACTAAAAAGTTAATCCTGGTACTATTCACTTCACCCTTTATTTTGTCCTTATGGTTAAAACTCAAAGTTTCCAAGTCCTTTTAATTAGTTTTCCTTTAAATTTTTGGTAGTTTTAACAAAACACTTTCTATACTGTTCACTTTTAATGAAAAACCAAATTTATACATTTCCCAGGTACTATTCACTATACCTTTAAAAATGACTTTTCATTAAAAGAAAAGTTTTTTTTTGAACTTTTCGTTAGTTTTTCTTAAATTTTAAGGGAAAGAAGAAAAATTTAATATAATAAAAAATAGAAAACTAATAGATGAGAAGGACTAATGAAAAGTTCTCAGAACTCATTGAGGAAAATATGCAGCAGCAAGCTGAGTTGATAAGGAGAAACAAGGAGAAGAGTGAAACAATTGAGCGGCTTTTGACCCAGGTTCATAAGCTAACGGATGAGAACAATATTTTGAGGAGTCATCTGGGAAGCCATAAGGAATAAGGATACTAATGACCATACAATTATTAGCCTCAGTTTCAAGGTCTTAAGTCCAAGGGGCCATTTTTCCTTGGAAGGCTCACTGGATGCAATGGAACTTGATCTTATATGGCTACTTTTTTTACTTAATTAAGTGGCGTTTTAAGTTTTCAAGTGTATCTGTTAATATGTTTTCATAATACATATGAAGATTCCGAGTGCATTATAACATTTGTTTTGATTTCGGCACCTTATAAAGAATTTGTTAATGTTTTTTCACACACACTCTCTCTCCCTTCCTTACTATTTTTTTAAATTGAACATTGACTATGTCTAGAACTGAATATTGACTATTTCTTAAAATGAATATTAGTATTATCATTATTTCTTAAACTAAACATTGACTATTTTTATAATTGAACACAGATACTATCATTATTGAGAAAGAGAGAGAATTTGGGTGAGGTTGGAACAAAATAACAAAATTTAGTTTGTGCGAAATTACATTGCTGCTCATAATTTTATTTTGTGATTGAAGATCAAATTGTCTTTTCACTATTTTTTGGTTGACAAAGAAAACTTTGTTAATAGGTAATTTAGATTTATCCAATCATATGGACTGTTGCATGCAGACATGCATAATACGATAATCCTGGTACTTTTGAAGACGTTCCAAAAAGTTACTTTCTCGATTGTTCACTCACATCATAAACTAAAATAAAATTTGTAAAACACAACAACCTGCACTTGTTGTAGAAAGTAGAAACTCCGATGCCCAATTTTACAGGCCATAACTTTCGGTCGTTGTGAGGATCGTTGCTAATTTATAAAAATTGTATGACAAGATTTTCAAAGAGTTATCCTAAATCAAAGGGTCATGGCAGATGGTGTTTTGCCGCATTGACGAAAAGCAAGTATGTTTATGCATCCTGATGTGAGTTTGATCCCACCAATCTCCCTTCATCCTAACAACTAACAATTTAACTGACTAACGCTATCGATTTTAAAAAATAAAAATATAAAAAAAATCAAAGGGTCGTGCCAATTTCCAAAGACGATTTGAAGAACCAAATTACCTAAAGGTTAAGTAATTTGGTTTCCAAGTTATTTGACTCTCATGGTGATTTATATTTGATTGACAAAAATCATGGAATCGAGATAGTCTAGCTAACTATTTGGAACCCTAATTAAGTAAGACATATTGTACATGCCTTGGTGGGACAACATTTAAGTTCAATAGTGATTTGGTGTATCTCTCTGTCAACTATAGTATGGAATGCATGGATGGAACCTCGATCACCAAGAAGTGGAACATCGCCAAACTCAAGCGATACTGCCCTTAGATGCACCATCCAAATTACATGTGATTTGATTCCCTTCCTGGGATAGACAATCCATTCCAGACTAAATTGCAACGTCGCCGTCTGTGCAAAGACAAGTTCATGGAGAACTCATCTCCCAATGCTCCACCATAGGTTTATCATAAAAAATGATCCCTGATGTAATTTTTACATTATATCATTTTTTTTCTTAGAACTACTGCAATGATTTGATTCTCCTTCCCAGAAATATGTAGGCAATCTTTTCTTAATTCAATCACACCCCTTTATCAATCAACCCTATTTCATTCATTAATAAAGAAGTTATGAAATTTATTTGTTCTATGTATGTTTCTTATTCTTCTTTTTAGTGATGTTGGGAATACCTAATTCATTCGAATAAAGCATAAATTTTGAAAACTTCACACGATTGCAAGTCTAAAAATTCGAGCAGACGCTGTCAGAGGAGTCTCCTTTAGCCCATCCCACACAATACAGTTAACAGGTTATGAGACTCAAACAGTAATAAGTGTGGTCATGATTGGTGGGCTACGAGCATAGGTACATAGTGATCTGACCCAGAAGTCTATTGCACCATCTGGCCTCCGGAAAGTTTGTACAACTAGTGAGGTTGTGCGTTATAACATTCAAATCGGGCTCTACGCCATTCAAGGAAATGGTCGGAAGGGCGATTTGAAAACCATCTTGATGTGGCTCTGAACTCCGACCTCAAGTACGACTACTTCTATCATGTACCAACATATTAAGTCAAGTGTATTATGAAACAACATATGTTAGTAGGTTCGAATGAGGCATCCAAACTAGGCAATCCCTAAGAGGAATTTTATTCCAAAAGAGATTTGATATGCAAAAATGATATGACCGTGAGTCTGATCGAAAATGCTCATTTTCGACACATAGGGCCTAGCAAAAGGATTCAAAAAATGTTTCCGACATGTTGATAACCAAGCCCCACAAATGACTTTTGTCTAAGATTCATTGGGGACGAACATGCAACTCGGGCTTGGGGGAAAACCTCCCCTTATGCACAAAGTTGCAGGTATTGAAATCCTAAATCTAAGAATAGGGCAAGGTGAAAAAGATTGTTTTTGTTCTTTATGAATTATTTCAAGTACAACTCGAAGTTCTCCTATCTTTAATCCAATGAAGGTGCTTGACAAGTATAGAGCAAAAGATTCTTCATGGGTTTAATATTTAATTCCTGGTATCGAAGTAAGGTGGTATTCTAGATATCGCAGTGAGAACCTTTATGGATACTAAGTTTCGGAGGTAATGTTCTTCCGAATTAACATTACCAAGGGGGCTTTCAAGCTCTATGTCGAGCCCATAAGCTTACTTGTATTCCACTTTGTTACTTGTTTTCTCTAAAAGTTCGTTTACTTTCAAGATTTATCAGATTAGGATTTTCAACAAAGAATGAGAAAAAAATGAGATTTCGTTTACATGAAGTTCTTCTATGACCC